ATATGAGACAGCTTAAAGTGACCGATGGAAAAATGAGAAATTCCATAAATCAGATGTAACAGTGAAACTCTTTCATAATATCAAACTGAACTTTAATAGAAACGATTGGATAGTCTGTTTGGATTTGAAATAATTTATGAGCATTTTTATGAGTCTCTCTATGCATGTGCCGCAAACGTATAGTGAAGGTGATTTGTGAGGAATAAATTTTGATGAATTTTGTCTTTTTATCAACACTTTAACAATAACATGAGTGCACAGCATGATTTCATTCTCTTGTCGAATTTGCTTGCGTTCATCCGATTCATTTGATAGGGATCACTGGAATACCAGCGATCCCTATCAAATGANCGGATAATCATTCAGATCGAGTTTCTAAGCATCTCCCAGCCAAATGACATCGTCCACATTTTGAACAATGCAGATATTTGCATTTCACACAGCGATTACATCGTGCACAATGCCGATATGACGTTCCATCCTGAAAAATCCTCCTGAATATTTATTCGACAATAGAAACTGATCCTGGATCACTCTCTACTCACCTCTACAAAATCTTTTTCCTCATTGTCAGCTGACAGATGAATATTTTGATAAATTTAAGGTTTTTTCAAAAAAATTTGTCAAGTCCAGCCAAAAGCTAAGCGTTTTCGCTTTTATCACAAACGGAAGTGATATCCTATTGTAAACATTTCCCTATGAAATAATGAAAAAAGATTTCTTAATCAAAAAAAGCACCTTCGATGGGCATATACCGCATAGACCACAGTGGCGATTTTCATTCGCCACATATCGCTCACACATTTCACAGAATCTGCAGAACAAATCATTAGGAACTATAAATCACTACTATGACATGAGAATGCTTTAAAATTTGAACATATTGATACAAATCAGTATTATCTGAACGAAAATGAGAACACAATCTCGAGATCACAATCATAAATTCAAACCGATAGCCAGATTCCGCTGGTAACACGAATTGTTTGAGCGGTAAACCAGTGAAGAATCGTACAATGGATTTTTGTGGTTTTGCATATTTGGAATGATTCACATAACAAATCTGAACAATACTTATTGATCAGTTTGTGATGTTTGAAGTTACTTCTCATGACTCCATGACAATATGAAAATTTCTTGTTCATAAAGGTATTCTGATCTCTCGCTCAATCGCTAGTTCGTTGCGATCTGATGAAACGCTTTGAAAAAAGTTCTTTTGCTTAAAAAATTATAGCGGATAACAGTATCACTGAACTTTTCCATCGACAATGATAGATAAAATGATAATAATGGTACGAAAAAGACGAGGAATAGTAATCATTCAAAGAAATCACTTTATAATCGACCATCTCCATACTATCATCACATTCTTTCACATGTTTTCCAACGAACAACGGCATTACGAGAATCAAATTGATGCGATACGATTCTCTGAAACATAACGATACAACTGAGTATCGTCGAGAATTTCGAAATTGCAACTTTGGTGTGTCTGAAACACTGCTTTTTTGGAATTTTTTGGAATTTCAGCCGATTCTAACGGATTCCACTAACTTTTGATGGACATCAACGAATTTGTCTTTGAGTTGACGAATTGTTCTGAAGAGCGCTTCAACCATAATGCCGAATGGTGGATCACAAACAATAATGAGATTTTTCACCGATTTTAAGAATGATTCAAATTTTCGCGTGGAATTTGAATCGTAGAAATGACCCGTCAACATGCTGAACTGAGCAAACTGCTTGGAGAGATAGAAGGGCATCTNCTTAGGTGGACAAGAATTTCATAACAGAAGTTATTTTCATTTTTCATTGTTTAACTATCAACTTCGCATCGAATTTGCTTCGAAAATCAACCAGAAATTAAATCATTGAATACAC